GGCCCGGCAGCCACCAGGCACGCTGAGGCCTGGCATTTTTTTTCCATCGTTTGGGAAACACTGGTCTATAAGGTGCTACAGGACTTTTTTAAAGAAAAATGATAAGAAATCCAACCTCTATTTCAGTGATTCCCCAACCTTTAAGTGTTTAAATCTTTACTTTTCTATGCTGCTCTCAGAGTACTAATACAATCCCCATATACAGTAAAACTCCAATTGTCTGGCATCCAGTGGTCCAGTACTCCTGATAGTCCAGCACCAACGGGACCCCGGACGTGCTCCAGCCAGCCGCACAATTGGAGCTGCTCTGCCCCCAGCTTCCCCAAGTCCGCTGCTGCTGAAACTGACCAGCGGCTGACTCGGGGAAGCCGGGGGCAGAGCAGCTGAAGTGCTGCCGGGTTGGTCCCGCAGCGCCGCTCAGGTGAGGGGCGGCACTACAGGACCAACCCGGCAGCACCCCAGCTGCTCTGCCCCCAGCTTCCCCAAGTCCGCTGCTGCTGAAACTGACCAGCGGCTGACTCGGGGAAGCCGGGGGCAGAGCAGCTGGGGTTCTTCCGGGTTGGTCCCGCAGTGCCGCCTTCTCCCAGGCTGCACAGTTCCCCGCCAACCCTCCCACCCCATAGCCCACTTCCGGTACTCTGGCATATCTGATAATCTGGCACCCCCTGGGTCCTAAAGGTGCTGGATTATCGGAAGTTTACTGTATATATGTTTGCTATAACTTCATAAGTCGCCTTATTTTTTGACTCCTCATGCTCTTTGTATCCCATATTTTATTGTTCTAAGCAAAGTGTGTTTTGAATAATTCATACTAACAAACCAGTATAAACCTGCATCAAGTATTAGCGTTTAATTGAAAACACACAGCTGGATCTACCACAAGCTTGATATATCAATTCAAGAATACTTAACGAGCTACCATAATCATTATAAAGCACTGGATAACTCCAAGTCAATTAGTTTAGAAGTAGGATGTTGCTTAAAGCTTTGTTGGAGAACAATATTCTTAGTAACATCAGTAGCATAAAATCCACATTCCTTCATGACTCAGCTAAGCTGCTTATAAAGCCATCATTATGAATTTTAGGACTAATAATAATGAAAGAGGCTGGTAAAACCACACTTTTGAATTTTCATATATTACAAAAACCAGATGGGGTCAGTGTAATCATCTAGTAAAACCTCTATATAACAAAGGCAATAGGCCTTCCATGAATTAATTTCTGTTTGGACTAGAGCATGCTTTCTAGAAAAACATCTTAATTTAAAGCTTTTCTGGCTATGGAGAATCCACCAAACTCATTGTTGTGCTGAGGGTTAAATACCCTCACTTAAAAAAAAACTTGTTCCTTATTTCCAATCTTAATTTGTCTAGCATGAACAAGCAGCTCTTGTAACTTGTATACCTTTGTCTAGATTAATTTTTTTTTACTATTAACAGCAACTTTTTTTTTTTAAACTTACTTGTAGTAATGTTCCCATAAGTTTCTGTATCTGCCTTGGCCTGACATATCAAACACTGTAAAAGACAAACTGCAAAGGAAGAAAGAGTGAGGTAAAGATCCAACAGAACAAAAAGTTTCCTCATTTCCTTTAACACTTTTAAATGTACAATCAAATTTAAACACAGCATATTAAAAAAAATCAGATATGACACCAGCTCTCAGCCTTCCTACCCATTTTTGTGGTACTACAATAATAATTACCCATAAAAAAAAATTTCTCTTCCCCTTCCTGCTCTGTGGAAAGACCACACAAACAGCCAAGGAAACTAACTGACTACATAAATAGTATCAAATAGAAAAATAAATAACCTTAAAAAATAGAGGGTGAAGTGTGTTTTCTGTAAGTCAACCATAGTAGCCTTTGGTACAATAATAGGCAAATGAAATTCAGATGGATGTGATTTTAAAATTTGATAGCATGCTTTTAATATGCACATGTGGCTTTCACTGGCTTCAGTGGGCAGAACTATCCTTCATTAAAATCCTTATAATGTAGTATTTAAATTTGTGGTTTTCACAAGCAGATAAATAGATAAATGGTCTAACGTAGCTTCAACATTTAACCCAAACACAAAGCACTAGGGATGTTAAAACAGTTACGTGTTTAACCATTTTAACTCCAGCCCTGCCACAGCCGCCAGCCTCACACAGCTGGCTACTGCCAGAGGTCACCAGCAAGGGCTGGTTAACCATTAAGCATGCCAATAACCTCCTGCTTACTGGTAAACCCTTTTAACATCCACACTATGCACAATCATAAATCCATTTATGAAAGAGTTACAAAACAAATTTTTGATTAACTTGTGAATCCATATAAATGAAAATAAGCAAAATATGGGCAAAGCTGGCCTCCTGAAATTATTCTGTATTTGTATTAGATATTTTCTACAGAGGGAAATGACTCAGATCCCTAAAGACCTAAAAAAAGTACTAGGTCTGTAACTCCTGTGTCCACCATCCTCTCCACAGTAGAATACACTAAGTGGAGCTGGGCCCTGCTGCTGCAAGCCCCACATAAGGCCAGCACCACAGGAAACAGCAGAAGAGGGAAATCTGCTCACCTTTTACTCCTTGAAAACAGAAATGAAGATTTTTTTTAAAAGCTGAAAGACCTGTGAGGGAGATGGTACTTAGCATTTTGTCACAGCACATCTGAGTTATATAAAATACAGGACTATGTAGCACTTTAAAGACTAACAAGATGGTTTATTAGATGATGAGCTTTCGTGGGCCAGACCCACTTCCTCAGATCTGAGGAAGTGGGTCTGGCCCACGAAAGCTCATCATCTAATAAACCATCTTGTTAGTCTTTAAAGTGCTACATAGTCCTGTTTTTTGTTTCAGCTACACCAGACTAACACGGCTACATTTCCATCACTGAGTTATATAGTGACCTTCTTACGTACGGGCAGAGAGAAAGGGAACACTAGAATTGTCAGGTGTGGCCAGAAAGGCCACAAATACAGTTACAAGGCCTTTGGAGGCCAATTATTTTTTAAAAAATAGCAGCAGCTGAACATCCACACTCATGCTATTTAGAAATAATTTCTAAAAAAGCATTATTCCTCATGATAAGCGGGAGTTATTACTTCAAAATAATGGGCTTGGTAGTGTGGACGCTCCACTTGTTATTTTGAAATAACTCCCTAGTGTAGACTAGGACTTAGCAAGTCAGACAAATCTTTAATGAGCTGAAACAAACTTTTTAAACACTCTGGTTGTGTATGAAAATGTGACTGCTATTCTCCCCTGCTAACCAATTTAATAAGCAAATAAAGGATCGCAAAACAGAAAGAGGGGAGGACAGTATACATCATAGCACCCTGTGATGCTGTGATTTGTAGGTGATATAAGGTGACCCAAAAACAATTAATTGATCAAGAACTCTGAATGCAATAGCTAGGTCTTATACAAATTTTATTCCCATCAGTCCTAGTCATCCTAGTTCAGGGCTGGGCAAAATACAGCCTGCGGGCTGAATCCGGCCTGCCAAGACACCAGATCCAGCCCGCAGACCACCCTGCCAGGACCCTCAGGCACACAGCTGCGCGGTTTAAAGCGCAGTCCGTGCAGCTCTCTGCTCTGCAGGAAGGGGGCAGATTCATGGGATCTCCCTGCCCCCAGCCCAATCTTCAGCACCTATTAGCCAGAAACAACCAGCCTACAGTAGCGGAGAGATTGGCTACGAGGAGTAACCATAGTTCAAATTAGAAAGCCTAATTCGAACTACCTACTCTGTGCCGCATGTAGCCGCGGGCACGGAGTCCGAACTACCGGGGATTTAAAAATGGCGGCGCCCGGCAAGATGCAAATGAAGCCTGGGATATTTAAATCCCGGGCTTCATTTGCAACTTCGATTGACTACATTAACCACCCTAGTTCGAACTAGGGTGGTAGTGTAGACATACCCTCCCAGACACTGTATCTCCTCCTACACCCCTCAGGCCAGAATCTTTTCCTGCACCCACACATATTCTCAGATCCTGCACCCCAATCCCCTGCCCCAAGTCATCACCCACACCCTCTGCAGTCTGCACCCCCTTCTCCCAGGTCACAACTGCCTCCCAGCCTTTGCACCACCTCCTAGTGCCCCTTCCCAAGGCCAGAATCCTCTCCTGCACCCATATCCCCTCCCTAACCCTACATCCCAATCCCCTGATCCAGGTCACCCCCCCTTCACTCAGAGGGTACATCTAGACTACATGCCTCTAGTGACAGAGGCATGTAGATTAGGCTACCCGGCATAGAAAAATGAAGCGGCGATTTAAATAATCGCCGCTTCATTTAAATGTACATGGCTGCTGCGCTAAGCTGATCAGCTATTTGTCGGCTCAGCGCGGTAGTCTGGATGCTCTGCAGTCGACATCAAAGGCATTTGTCGACCTCCCAGGTAAACCTCATCCCAGGAGGCATACCTGGGAGGTCGACAAATGCCTTTGATGTCGACCGCGGAGCGTCCAGACAACAGTGCTGAGCTGACAAACAGCTGATCGGCTCAGCGCGGCAGCTATTTAAATTTAAATGAAGCGGCGATTATTTAAATCACTGCTTCATTTTCCTATGCCGGGTAGCCTAATCTACATGCCTCTGTCGCCAGAGGCATGTAGTCTAGATGTACCCAAACTCCCTCTCAGACCTCACATCATCTCCTGCACCCCAGACCTTTATCCCATGCGCCCTTCTGTGCCCAACCTCTATCCTAGACCTCATAGCCCTTGACCATTTTCCAAAATCTTGGCGTGCCCCCCCCGCCAAAAATTACTGCCCACTCCTGTCCTAGTTCAAGCAAGAAACTCATTAATTTTTTGCAAGTCTCCTAATGAGTAGGGCACATTAGTTTGAAGACTGGCTACACATTTTTTCAAAGTATTGTCAAGGTACATTAAATGTTTCATAATTCTCTCATAGTATTTTCATTTTTTTAGACACACAAGTGAGGTGTGTTGAGGCAATTGCCCTTTTACCCAGGTTTCTTGAAACTGATCATTTCCCCTCTCTTTTCCTGACTTTAATCAATGCAGCTTTCATATTGCTAAGGCTACAGCCTCCATTTTCTAGTTAATGAGCTAAGAATGAGATCTCTTCAGAGTATCTCAGTGATACTTCTTAACCTATTACAGGTTACATTTCAGTGATCTGAGACATGTCTAAAGATTACACACACTGAATTGGTAGAATTCCAGCCCTATCAATTCTATAAGTGAGGCCAGGACTCAAGAAACTTAAGACTCTCATGTGAAACTGAAAAACGTTAGCCTCTTTGTGATATAGCAACATGCGTGACTCAAATGACACCTTATATCAGCATAGATCAGTGTTTCTCAACCAGTGGTACAAGTACCCTTAGGGGTACACGAGAGAAGTCTGGGGGGGTACATCAACACAACTAAAATTTGGAGAAAACTGAATTTTTGTTTTAAGTTTTACAGTGTTTTATTATTTTTATACTTTTTACATCCAAAAATTTCATCGCCCGCCGGCTATGATTAAGTCGTTTAAACAAATGTATTGCAATGGTGGAAAAAATTGTGTGTGTCTGAAAACTGTAGGTACTGGGGGTACTTTTTTTTTTTAAAGGGGTACTTTATAAAGAAAGGTTGAGAAACACTGGCATAGATCATCATGTTTACATTGATTACATCACACTGAAAGATAAAAAGAGATGAATTTCATGTACACAAAAGTGATGTTACCTGGATGTCTTGAATTTTTCTATACTGAATCCTATTGTTGGAACTATGTCTTGAGTTTGAGCCTTAAAAAAAAAGAGAGAGAAAATTAATATTTTACAACAAACACATTGTAAATTAGAAACAGCTCCTGAAATAAGATCTTATTTCTAAACTATTAATATACCATAACATTTTGATGCAATATATAGTCTTCAGGAAACATTTTAGAAACAGAAGATCTCTGGATAGACATGACAAGTACTTAATGGACTTTCCCAGAATTTCCACTTTCTCAAGATCCAAGTTTTGGATTTTCTAGCAAAAAAATGGAGACTCTGTATTACCTTTGGGTTAAGGCTTGGAAGTGAAGATGTTTTAGCCTTAATATTGAATTCCCTTGCTTTTTTAAACAAACTTTCAGTTATAGTTTAGGTACAGGGCTAAGTGACATACTATCAGAGCTAAGTGATAGCTTTTTGAATTGAAGAATTACCAATGAGGTTACAATATGAAGAATCCAAGTATTTTTACCCTCTGGAGGTCACAATTTCAACCCAAAGTATATTATATAGGCAGTCCCCGAGTTACGCGGATCCGACTTATGTCGGATCCGCAGTTACGAACAGGGCTTTTCTCGCCCCGGAGGACGGGAGCGGCGGGCCGCCTGGTCCCGCCACCTGCCTCCTCCGGGGCGAGAAAAGCTGCTCCCCATCTCCCTGGTCTGCTGGGGGAGCCAG